TGCTCAAACAACCCAGAGAACCTGACCTGTGGACCCAACTGAAGGTAATTAAATAACGAAAATTAAATCAAGTAAAAATACATTGCAACACTGTCACATTTTAATCCCACTATGTAAACATCTGACATCCACCAAGCACTCTGAAATATATAAAACCAACCCTTGCGCGCACAACAAGCAGAATAAAGAACGTCAACTCTTCAATCTCATATAGATGGAAAAAGTTCTTGTCCAGTTGTGCCGAAAGGCTGTAGGAACCGTCCAACACACAGATGAACGGACCCCTACAGACAGATCCCTTCATTCAGGAGACATTTGTTAAGGTCCTGTCCATTCTCTCTATCATGCGCATCTTTCTCCATGTCGGAGTGAGAGAGAAGCGACGGCTGTGCAGATGACAGAGTCTTGTGTGCTGGGATTCAGGACATTTGATTGGCGCTTGGGGGTCGGGCTGATTGATAAGGACGCCTCCTGCTATCCCACCGACAGCTCCTGTCAGAAAGCCAGCTTGTTTCAAATCAGATGTATTAAGAGGTACACCATGCTTCCCCACCCCCCAGTACACACACACACGCACTTAAACACACACGCACACTCACTGTGAGAGCAGCCAAAACAATTAGCTCATTCATTTGTTTAACTTGGTTTTCATTTCCGACAGCAGAAACGTAAAACCTGAGACAGCCGCAGTTATGAATTTATGCTTTCTCAGATTATGAATGTGACTTTTCATTTTGTTACTGTGGCCTCTGCAGAGCTGTGTGTGTCAGTGCCGGTTGTTGTGATAATAGAAAAGCTTTTAGTATTAGTATCAATAAAACGCCTTGAATATTTCAAACATAACACGAGTGGAACAATTTCATTTTCTTTTTTTCTTGTTTTTTTTTACACAATGACAAGAACCCCAGAAGAATGCTGACATGTGTAAGGTAAAGTAAATCCATTGTTTTACCATCAGTGTTTCCTCTGATCACCTCGGTGACAGGCACCAACCACCTTCAGGCCGCAGCTCTTGGAAACTTTTTCTTGAGTTCAAATTGTGCATTTTAGTTTAATTCTCTAGTTTTAGTCTAGAAGGGAGACGAGTGAACTCGTTTCACTCTTGTTTTCCTCATCCAAGTTCATGTTTACTTTCTCATCCTATTCTCAACGTAAAAATCAAAACTATGTACAGTAATTCCAAAATAATTTGATATTTGTTTCTGTGTGGCCTCAATAGAGGTACGAGAGTTAGGGTTAGGGTTAGGGCTAACTGTCTCCCAAAGTATTCGGTTAATTTCTTTTTTAAATGAATAGTTGTGTTGCATGTCTCTGGGACGGACAGGGGACTTGTCCAGGATGTAAACATGCTGCATAACCACCAGCTACATGGCAACCCAGAATAATTAAGCAGATATGGCTACTTCCTGGATGTTTGAAGTTGAGATTACAAAATGTCTTCTTGCCAATTTATTGGCCACCCAGGGTATCGAAGCCAATTTCCTAAACTTTGAGAGATCGGTGATTGGTTGACTCTTACATGTGAAGCCGATTTTATCCTCCAATCTCTTCGACCTCAGCAAAGGTCTAAATTTTATGTCACACGTATTTTTTTTAATTGCAAGTGTTGCTACAATGACTTTTAATAATTAAACACCGATGTGATTTTTTTTTTTGTTGCAAAATGCAATGAGGTTTGCAAAATTCACTCTGCTCAGAATAATGTAATTGACCAGGGGTTTTTTTTTCCTTTCATAAATAAAGAATTCCCTTACTGGCAATATATTGGCAAATTTAAAGCACATTGTCCGGCATATCGATGACTTTTTTTGGGTCAGGTTTTTTGCTAGACAATGTTAAAACACATCTGTGACGTCCAGCTCTATAAAACACTGATGTAACAATTGAAATAATGGCCTATTTCTCTTTCACATGCATGCATATCATTCCTCTAAAGCATTTTGTCAGATCCTTTATTGCGTTCTTAGGTTTGAAGTCAGTAACTTGACAAGCTTTGTTAGTGTACAGAGTGTGGGTATGAGTGCATGCGTGTGATTGTGTGTGTGTGTGTGTGTGTGTGTGTGTGGGTGTGTGCGTGTACATGCGAATCAGCAGTCATAGATCTCACACACGCTGCTTCAATCAGGATCGGTCCCATTTGGTGGTCATCCTCTCAGGAATGCTGACTGAGGTCAGTCTGAATTTTGGTGTCAGTTTCACTTGTCATGATTGGAAAAACTGAGAAAACTGAGCCTAACTTGTCTGCTGGACTTCACCCTCACTCACTCAACTCTTGTTATATTTACCTCTAGTGGCTGCGGTAAAGAAAGATTAAAAGATGTTGAGCTGTCAGCAAATGTAAAAATATTACTGGGTAATTGTGTTACTGGAAGACATTTCCAAAGGTGCTTAAACCCACAACTATACAAACAAATAAAAAAATACAACCAAAGTTAAATATATAAATTATTTGCACTTCTTCTAAATTCAAATTAAGTCATCAGTTAGTGGACCTAAAAACTCGACCCTAACCCTAACCCTAGTGCTGATCACATTTACAACCGGCCCACAGGATAAATGAACTAAACAGCTGCTTAACGATGCTAACATTTTAACACAGACCACAGGTATAGAAACTGAACATTTGTTTGAGGATATAAATGCTGATAAAATCTGATTTAATGGTCTCAGCATAGATCAATGAAAATATTTGAAATTGTTTAATATCTAAATAGCGAACGGAGATGAGATGAGATGAGATGAGATGAGATGAGATGAGATGAGATGGAAGTTCGTCCTCAGAAGGAGCTGAAGTGAACTGCGGGTAAAGAGGACGAAACGAGAAGGCCCGGGTCCTCTGAGCCAGCAGGAGCTGTGAGGAAGAGGTAAGTGATGAAGCAGAGGCTCCTGGAGCGACATGGGTGACCTTGAACCGAGGCAGTGAACTGCAGTGGAGGTGGAGGTGGACCCGACGGTGAGACAATCCAAGAATGCAGATCGATTGATAATAAACTTAGGAATATGATCGTACAAGAAGGCAAAAAAAAAAAACAAACAACAAAAAAAAAACATTTGTAAATAGCTTGTTAAACCGACTCAGTTTATCTTTATATTGGTTTGAGGCCCATTGAGAGAACCAGAACCAGATCTTAAAGCAACGTACAACAACACAGCAATATTGGAGAACCTTGAATCAGATCATCCTGCATCGCTGTCATCGAGTGGAGACAATGAAAACAACTGCAGTGTTTCCCCTAACAGGAATAAAGTTGCTGCTGACTAGTTTCTGCTGCTGATGTTGATCTGAGTCTGTACGTGTTAACCAGACCATACGAGAAGCTTGCCATGGGGATATTGAGATCAATTGACTCCACTCTGGGAGACCTCTGATCCTGAGCACAGTGGAGTATGAGCGCCATGCTCCCGCTCTGCTCATCCTGCCCAAGACCTGATCACTTTCACCAGAGCGCCCACTGGTGGTTGACAGAGGAAGGGCGACTCTGAGCGGCCGGCGCGTCAGAGCTCCTCCACTTTCGACTCGTTGAAAGCTGGAACCACGGCCGAAGCGATTACAGCCGATTACAAATGTTACTGCGCTCGTTCACAAGCACAATAACATTTCCTGTGAGCCTTCAGTCCTGTCATCCCCGCTCATCGCTCCGGACCAGGTGTCTGTTGTTTATTCGGACAGAGTTTCTCTGTCTGCTGAAGCCTTGATGGATGAAAATCAGTAACCCCCCCAAAACCACAACGATCCGCTACTTTTGGGTAATTAAGGGTTAATTAACGGTAATGAATGTGGGTGATCCTCCCGGGGTTAGAGCAGAATGAATTTGTAACTGACTAACTAATCATCCGGGCCTTTCAAGTGATTCCTGCAGACTTTGAAGTGCGAGCGAGCATTCATTCATTAATGAATGCGTTTATTTATTGCGCGGCGGCGAGGGGCGGCGGTCAAAACCGCTAATCACCTGTAATCCTTTTAATGTCTCTCGCTTTGAGGTGCCAATACACAAGATGACCATATTCAGGAGCGCGCAACCCTGGAGGAGGATGAGGAGGAGGAGGAAGAAGTGTTGGGGCTGCGGGAGGAAGATGGACGCGGGGTCATGAAACCATCTTTGCCTCTTAATGACAGTTGATGCTTCCAGAGCCGGACGCACCGTCATGCAGACCAGAGCCTGGGTCGAGTTGGACCGGAGCGGGTCAGGCTCCTCCTCGCTCCTTTCTGCCGCCGGACAGCTCCCCAGGTGAAGGGGAGATGACAAAGGGGGATGGACGGAGGAGGGGAGGGGGGGGATGAGAGGAGAGAGGAGGGGAGTGAAGAGGGAGGACGGGGGTAGATAAGGGTATCCGCTTTTGTTTTGCAGGAAAGAAAAAAAAAAGGGGGCTTGTTCTCAGCAGAGCCTCCTGGGTGTGTGAGCGCGGTGTGGGATGGGAGCAGAGACAGGAAACGCGGAGCTTCCAGCCTTCAGTCCTGCCACAGAGCGCAGCAGCAGCAGCAACAGCAGCAACAACAACAGCAGCTCCAGCAGAAGCAGCAGCACCAGCAGCTGCTGCAGCAGCATCCGATCTGCAGCGGCAACACTTGACGAGACAGAGGTCGGTCGGCTCACACTCACCTGAAGGCCGCAGATGAGGACGCGGTCCGGGGGGAGCTCTGCAGCGCGTCATCCGAAACTTCTTCCGTTTTCCCCTGCAAGTGCACTTAGACTTTCTTCGGCCGTCACTCAAGTCGTTACTTTTACTCTCATCAGTGATCTTTTTTTTTTCTTTTTAATAATCGATGCAATTTTCTCGCTTAATTTGGTGAAGAAAAACATAATGATAAAATAAAATGCAATGGGAGAACGCGAGCCGCGCTGTCAGTCCCGCTGACCTCTGGATGATTTCACTGTAATCTGTTGGACTTGTCGACTCGACTGGAAGCCTTGGAAGAGCTTTGACATCTGCGAGCCCAAAACGGACACCTGCCAGTAAAAAAATACAAAAAGAAAAAAAAAACCCCGGAGGGTCTGTCC